ATATTTGTAGTCTCTCTACAGCTTAGACCTTATTTTCTGGCAGTGCCCTTCCCAAGACTAGATTCTGGATCCACCCCTGCATTGATCAATATATTTTATAGCAATTTCAACAACTTTCCATTACTTACACAACTAAACAGATAAAAAAATGTATCCTAGATATTTTAAAAATTATATTATATAAATTGTGATTGAAAATAGATTAAAAGTGTTTGAAATTGCCCAAAAAAGCCATGTGTATGGACAGTATTTGTCCTAGTGGAAGATGGTGGAAACAATGTAATTGGCACCCCCTGCTGCCGGCTATGGAACCCTCTGGCCTGGTTCACACCTGGGCGTTTTACAGCACGTTCCTACACGCTGTAAAACGCTCAACATGTGAAAACCAATGATTGCCTATGAGCATGGTTCCCACCTGGGCGTTTTACAGCGCGTAGGAACGCGATGCAAAATGCCCTACGCCCAAAGAAGTACAAGAGCTTCTTTGGGGCATATTTGCCGCGCATATCCATTAGGACACAGCTGTATAGCCCTCGGAAACGCGCGTCTGTTGCAGTTTCTTTTACCGCAGATCGCGGTAAAAACGCGTGGCAAACGCGCATATTCCATAAGCCTAGGTGTGAACCCAGCCTTACACTAGCTCTTAAATGATACATAAAGTAACATTTATGGATAATTATGACCTAGCAGGTTCTTGTTGCAAAGAGCTATTTTCATTTTCCCATGTGTGTATTTAAATAAACTCTCCAAAGGTCATTAGGGGAAAAAAGCTTCATAGTAGATTGTAGAGATACATATAAAAGTACACATACAAAAAAAATACATAAATATTGATGTCTTTTCTTTCCAAATACGTAATTAACAAATTTCCATGTAAACAATTTTGTTTAAATGCCATCAGTTTTTTAAGGTCATAATAGTACTGAGAAAGATTTAAAAAATATTGATATCTCATCTTTTAAACACTTATTTTGATATACAGGTGAAACTGGAATAATTAGAATATGGTGCAAAAGTTCATTTATTTCACTAATAGAACTTAAAAGGTGAAACGAATATATGTGATAGACTCATTACATGCAAAGCAAGATAGTTCAAGTCGTGATTTGTCATAATTGTGATGATTATGGCTTACAGCTCATGAAAACCCCAAATCCACAATCTCAGAAAATTAGAATATTGTGAAAAGGTGCAATATTCTAGGCTCAAGGTGTCCCACTCTAATCAGCTAATTAAGCCATAACACCTGCAAAGGGTTCCTGAGCCTTTAAATGGTCTCTCAGTCTGGTTCAGTAGGAATCACAATCATGGGAAAGACTGCTGACCTGACAGTTGTGCAGAAAACCATCATTGACACCCTCCATAAGGAGGGAAAGCCTCAAAAGGTAATTGCAAAAGAAGTTGGATGTTCCCAAAGTGCTGTATCAAAGCACATTAATAGAAAGTTATGTGGAAGGGAAAAGTGTGGAAGAAAAAGGTGCACAAGCAGCAGGGATGACCGCAGCCTGGAGAGGATTGTCAGGAAAAGGCCATTCAAAAGTGTTGGGGACTTTCACAAGGAGTGGACTGAGGCTGGAGTCAGTGCATCAAGAGCCACCACACACAGACGGATCCTGGACATGGGCTTCAAATGTCGTATTCCTCTTGTCAAGCCACTCCTGAACAACAAACAACGTCAGAAGCGTCTTACCTGGGCTAAAGAAAAACAGACCTGGTCTGTTGCTCAGTGGACCAAAGTCCTCTTTTCTGATGAGAGCAAATTTTGCATCTCATTTGGAAACCAAGGACCCAGAGTATGGAGGAAGAATGGAGAGGCACACACTGCAAGATGCTTGAAGTCAGTGGGAAGTTTCCACAGTCTGTGTTAATTTGGGGAGCCATGTCATCTGCTGGTGTTGGTCCACTGTGCTTCATAAAGTCCAGGGTCAACGCAGCCGTATACCAGGAGATTTTGGAGCACTTCATGCTTCCTTCCACAGACGAGCTCTATGGGGATGCTGACTTCATTTTCCAGCAGGACTTGGCACCTGCCCACACTGACAAAAGCACCAAAACCTGGTTCAATGACCGTGGGATTACTGTGCTTGATTGGCCAGCAAACTCGCCTGACCTGAACCCCATAGAGAATCTATGGGGCATTGCCAAGAGAAAGATGAGAGACATGAGACCGAACAATGCAGAAGAGCTGAAGGCCGCTATTGAAGCATCCTGGTCTTCCATAACACCTCAGCAGTGCCACAGGCTGATAGCTTCCATTCCATTGTTCTATGTACAATCCTTGTTTTATTGATTGCATGTAATATTCTAATTTTCTGAGATTGTGGATTTGGGGTTTTCATGAGCTGTAAGCCATAATCATCACAATTATGACAAATCATGGCTTGAACTATCTTGCTTTGCATGTAATGAGTCTATCTCATATATTAGTTTCACCTTTTAAGTTGCATTAGTGAAATAAATGAACTTTTGCACGATATTCTAATTATTCGAGTTTCACCTGTGCTCATTAGGTTTATTGTATTTTGGGTTAAATTCTATCTCCCGTGGCCTGTTGCATTATTACATGGACATTTCTGTTCAGATGGGGAAAAGCTGTTTATAAATTGGAATTGGAAAGAAATGTTTCTTTTTCATGGGTACATTGAAGGACAAATATAATTTCAATTAAAGTATAGTTATTCTAACTACACTATCTGAAGGCTACACCATCTGAGGGGGAACATAGCTTAAAAGTAATAAATCATTTGTAAAGACAGGCATGTGCAGCATACCATATTATACCAGTTTAGCCCCTACCCTCTTCATTGGAGTGACTACTAGAAATGTAGCTTTGCTATCACTGTAATCAGTCTAGCTGATTTGTAGTTGGTTATTATCTTGTTAATTCCAGGTGTTCTGCTTTTGATTGTACCTGCCTGAGTGGGGTGTGACCTTGCTACAGTGTGGGGCAGCCAATAGGGGGACATGAGGAGTGTCTATGCCTCACCAGCCAATCACTGAGAGTTTCATGGCCAGTGGTGCATGTTGGGGGAGTGGACAAATACTCAGGGGGTTGCCATGTGCTCAGTTCCAGTCTGTCCCCAGGCACAGCCTGGGGGGTGAATGCACAGAGATGGAGAAGCTCATTAGGCCTTAAGTTTGGAGAAGGCCACATGTGGACCCAGGAGGGGTCTAGAAGAGAATCAGAGAAGCCCTATGACTGTTGGAGGTACCAGGAGCTGACATGGACCTCAGGAACACGTCTGGTGTCTCTCCGAGGGAAGATCTCATGCACATTAGCTGTTGCTCTATTGCCAAGTGTTAGCCTGTTCTCTTAATGGTTCTGCACTGCGGACGTCTGAAGGGATTGGTGAGTTTTTTCTATTTTTGCTATTGATGTCTGAAGCCCTGTACCCTCTCCCCCAGTTATGCTGTTCTCAATAAAGCATTTAAAAAGGAACCTAAAATGATTGGTGCCCAACTTTTTGATCACATATCCCTTCACTGGCTAAGGATCTGCCCCTAAGAGTGAAATATCAGCCCTCTCTGCCATTTGGGGGTCCACCTCAGGCCTCTGAGGATCAGGGGGGCACTGCATCAAGAAATATGCACAATATTATCTGATAAATCAAAGATAAATATAATTTTAATGTTTTCCCAAGACACCTTTTAGATGTCACTATTTCTAGTAGTCTGGTAGTCATTGGTACTCCTCTCACCTTTATGTTTTGCCACAGGTATGCATTGTAGAACAGCAGGTGCACTTTCCACTCAATGTCACTTGTGGTTGGCATGCAAATCTCTTGTTTCCCATTGCCCTGCTGCAACACACTGCCTAGTTATTGTGACCTTGTGGTAATAATATTATAATATATCATAATAGATACCTAATCCTAGGGGCTATTGTTACTAAATATTTACCTGATATGAGTGGCTGTTGTGCTTATATTAATCCTAGTACTGCTGGCTATAATAACCAAAAATATCCCAGCTGGTAGTGGATATCATACTTTGCAAATGGCTCGATTCCCAAAGCTAACACACCAGGATAATAACAGTTAAAAAAACATCTAAAATAAAGATCCTTATGCTTGTGTTAAAGCTTTGTGAATTAAGCCAATCCCTTATAAGCAGTTTCCAGGATCCCTTGTCTGTTACAGGGTGGCCTTACTGGATTTTTATTAACTCTTTAGGCCACAGGAGGGTCTCTTTGGTTGTGTAGTTGGTGCTAGTCATGTCATTTTTGTGGCTTGGGATAATGCCTAGTATGCCTAACCCCATTGGTTGATTTTTGCTTTTCTTTTTAGCAAACCATTCTATTCACTGACTATTTCTGCCAGGTTACCGCAAAATGTTTAAATATATGTTACTTACAAATTACACAGGCGTAAAAGACTCTGGAGGAGCCCGCACAGCACAAAAACAGTGGACCTGAACAAATATTTGGGACTTTTCTGTGGACAGAAGTCTAGCAAGAACAAGAGACCACCCTGACATATAGGGATGTATGACAACTGTAAAGTATATATAAAGCCATTTTATCTTTTTACTTTTGGATAGTGTTTGTGTGAAAGTGATAAAACCCCTTTTGTGATTTTATTGGAGAATGTGTCTTGCTGGGGAGGTTCACTATTTATATTTGTCCAGCTAACTTTTGACAGCAGAGCAGAAAGTTATGGAACATCAAACATTTACAGTTAGCACCAGGACCTAAAGAAAGGGGAATCTTCCAATAGGAACACTTGTTTCAGTGACAACTATCTAAGAGGGGAATTTTTGCTTTCTGCTGTGTTTCTGGTATAGGAAATAATGGTAAATTTCCCCACAAGGACAAAGACAGCAAATAAAACTTGAGGGGGGGAGGGTTAACTATTCTTTACTCTAGCCATCTATTTGGCTAAAAAACACTTTAAGTTACAGTTTATGATAGAAAAAAATCAATAATTTCTTACTAATAATAGAGAATTACAGTAAAGTGATATTTGTATTGTGATAAGTGATATATTGCAATGAATAATTACCTAAAAATGCTGATGGTGACACAGTTCCGTTGCTCCTTGAGACCATTACACTAATTCCTGTTTCCACAAAAGGAACTGAAAAGTCAATAATTTCAGATCGTTCCTCATTTATTGTAAGAGAACCAATGGCCATGTCAGCACGCTGGTAAAACACCTATTGGAATGAAAAACAAAATTAAAATGAAAAAACATGCATCATTTGGAAATGTGGGAAAGTGTTACCAAATTCTTTTACTCCAATGATGATACAATGATGATACATATCAAATATTTTCTACATTCTTGTTGAACTCTTCAATGAACATACATTTAACACCATAATATGTAATGCAGACAACCTATGGCTTACTTAACAAGGCAAAGAGCAATGTACCAAGTAGAGTAACACACTGCAACCAATTACTGCACTTTACACATTATTATGGATCTTTTGGGCGTCCTTATTTAATCTGTTAAATGTATATTGTTTTAATATGTACATCATTTTAAAAATGACATCAATGGTATACATTGGGGGTGGGCACTGTAAACATAAAAACATTAATCAGTCTGAACCTCACTTTTACAAAAATATACTAGTTGCATTTCAGATGGAATTTGGTTGCCAAGGAAAACATTTCTGATGTTTGTGGTCTGCAGCCTCTTCCTGCAGTGTATCAGCTTTGGTAAAAGGACCAGTCATGCACACCACACGCATGCGGAAACACATAACTATGAACCATAGAGCTTGGTGGGAACAGCACCTCAATTATGCTGGTCAGCAACAAAAGGCCCGCAATCAGTGTTGGGACAAGGTCCTTGAGCACTGAAAGTAAAAAGATCAGTGTTTTCCCCTCATTCATGAGCTGTGAACGCATGGAACAGTAGCATACAGTATGTTGCAGATCCCAAACCCTTTGCATCCCCTCCTATTAAAAAAGCCCAAAGTGACCTTTTCCCTTTCACCCTGCCCATGCCCACACTCCATCTCCTACTTGTTCCTCACTTTCCATTCTTCCCATACTCCACAAGATTTTCCATCTTTTTCTGATGCAATACCTGGTGCCTCAAGAATTGGGGCGGGAAGTCTGACAAGAAATTTAAAAGGCTTACCTTAGAGCACATCAAGTGGGGGAAAAAGCCATAATGGTGCCTGAAAAAGTAGGGCCAAGTGTAAACTTCAACATTGCCGAAAATCTCCTAATCCCTCCCCACTACCTCCAGCAGCATCTTTCACCAGGCAGGTGCCTCTTCTGAAGCTGCCTGAGTGAAAGAAAAAAAAAACTCCTAATCACTCCCATGCCCAACATCTCAATGTCAGTTTATCAAAATTGCATGCTTTACAACAGTTTCCCTTTCAGCTGGAGGAGTCAACCCCTTCCTTGAATTTGTATGGCCCTGGCTGCATCACAGGACAGGAACCCAGCTGCCATTGTTTTGCCAAGAAGGCCTGCATGCCCCCCACCAGCATATGTAAGGTCTGGCAGCTAGGAAGGATGCAGGATGGGGCACACTGTTGGAGCTGATGATGCTGCCTTTTGTTCTGCACCTTTGTGACCACCAGTCCCCTTCCAAGCACCCCAGAGTTTATACCAGGGGTAGCCAAACTTTGGCTCTCCAGAAGTGGTAAAACAACTGCTGAAAAGTGTTGAAACAATTCTGACATTCACACACAGGACCTCCAGAGAAGCACAATGAGATGTGTAGTTATACCACAGCTGAAGAGCCAATGTTTGGCTACCTCTGGTCTATGCAGTGGCTCAGACAAAACTCTGCCACACAATTTTGCAGCTGGTATGCCTGGTGGGCAGAAGCCACAATGGGCCAGAGATTCTGGAAGCTCAAGAAGTGGTGCACCCAATACCAGCTTGTGCCAGGCCAGGTTATGTGTGACAACAACGCCAACTTGTTGGTTGCCTTACAGCAGGGAAAGTTCACACACACGCACCTTGCCTGGAACATGTCCAGAACCAGGTGGTGCAACAGTTTCTGGTCAGGTACCTTGGCTTTCAGAATCTCCTGTGACAGGCCAGAAGGGTATGTGTCAGTTTAGGCAGTTATACATGTGATGTGTTCGCTTGGCCAAAATGCAGCAGCAACACAAGCCGTCTGCCAACCGCCTGATATGCAATGCACAAGGTTGGCCATGCTGCAGGGGAGGGACCAGCAACATCACACCATCACCATGTAGGGGCTCCTGATTCAGACCACATGCAACATCTTATCTCAATTAGATGAGGTGACCAGAATGGTGAGTCACAATGAGGCAGTGATTAGCAACACAATCACTCTGGTGGTCGTGCTGGAGCATACACTGCTTGATGCAATAGTCCAAGCATTACAGGCACAGCAAGTGAAGAAAGAGGAGGACTTCCTGCTGTCTCAGGGCTAGCAGAATCATTAGCCTACTGCCTGAATCGTTGTGAGGCAGAAGCAGCAGGATGCAGAGGAGGAGCAAAAGGAGGATTGTGACACTAGCAGCAAAGAGGAAGAGGAGGTTTGTGGTGCTGACTGTGGGGAGGAGCAGGATATGTGGATCAACTTGAAGGGATACTTTTCATTCCTCCCCACACAAGCTGGTCTTGGTTTGCCACGTGTGCCTTACACAGGCAAAGATGCTCTTTATGTGCTGTATGTGAGTGCATACTTCTGCGATACAGCTATGTACACCATTTGACACCCCCTCTTGCCATATATACCATTAAATGCAAGCAATTTATTAAAAAACATGGTCTGCAAAGCCTAAAGTTAGAGGCAGAGGTTCTGCACGTTGAGTTATTTTTTAAATAGTATTTAGCATGTAGTGATTTGTTTTTTTACATTTTTTGCCCAAGTGACTCAAACATGGACAGGAGTAGAAATGCTACCCTAAAGCTACTTAAAAAATATAAAGTCCTAGGTCTAAACACCATCTTGTCCCTATGAAAAAATTTAAAAAGCGGTTACAAGATAAGGCTGCCAGTTCCAACACTTGGAAAAAATGTTGTGACCAACACAAAGCCCCCCAGGCCTGAACACTTCCTGCCTGCAAGGGTAGTAGCGCTTTAGACTTCCTTTTCTGTTTTCCTGCAGTTCCAACACTTGCCTCGCAAAGGCGATAGCTTCAAGGAAACTCACCTTGTAGGTAAATGTAGAGACAGGAATGTCTCTAATTTTAAAAAGACAGTTTCTGAAGCACAGATAGAACCCAATTAGGGCTTCTTACTCAAAGAGTGAGAGGCCAATTTTCTCTGAAACAAAATGGAAGGGGCAAAAACATAACTTTTGAGAGCCATACCCACCCATTTTTCACTGAAAAAGCAAAGAAAAGTTGTGCAACGCTTTAGTAGGCTGCAGTTTTACAGGGAGACAACAGAAAGGTTTATGATCCAGAAATTAAAGTTAGAGTTTTTTATTTTACAGAAAAAAACAAAAATATTGTACTAACCTCATGTACAGTCTTTAAGTACTTTTATTAGGCCATATTATAAACAGAACAGACATCAGCCAGTTTTTCATCAAAAAACATTTAACTGAAAAAGCCCCCAAATATTGTAATGAGGATGTACTTAATATATAACTATTTTGTCAGCAAAACCAACACCAACCACCTTTTAATTTAAAAAAAATCAACATTAAAGTATATTTATATCTCTTAAAAAATCCCTGTCAATATTGTAATTTGCACAATATGTAATCACTTTAACTTGATGACATTTTGGAAAGGACTCAGACATGCCATAATTTCATTTGGAGATCAACATTAGAGTGTATTTATTTTACTGAAAAAAGTGGGGATTCACGGATACTGATACTGGTATCGGTATCAGTGCCAATACTAAGCATTTAGGTGATTACTCATACTCGCCCAAATGCTCCTATACTTACACCGATACCAGAACTTCCAGTTAGGGGGAGATTGCCTCTGACCGGCAGTGCCACAAGAGAGCATGGAGCCGGCTTCCTGATTGGCTAGGAAGCTGGCTTCACTTGTTGCTAGGAAGCCTGGCTTCCTGACCAATCGATAATTGGTCAGGAAGCCAGGCTGCCTCACACTGTCGTGAGGGAACATGAAGCCGGTATTCTTTCGATAGAACACTGGCTTCCCAGGCAATCAGGAAGCCGAGTGGTGGGTCATGACCTGTTGCCCGGCTTCCTGATAAGCTGGGCCCACGGTACCTCGGGATGCTGGTATCAGTATTCAGTATCAGTGAGTACCGGAAAAATATATTGGTATTCGTACTCGATACCGAAAAACGGTATCAGTGCATCCCTAGAAAAAAGTCCTCACACAATAAACATTTCAGTAGGCTGATTTTTCAACAAGACCCAACTAGCTTTCAGTAAAAAAGGGTTGATTTTTTTTCATCATAAAAGCCCAACAAAATATTGTAGTAAGTACAAACAGTCTTTGAACACTTAGACTAGACTGCTTTTTCAACAGCACACACACCAGACAGCTTTTAATTTCAAAAAACAATATTAGAATGTATTTATTTTGCTGAAAAGGGTGCCCAAATTATTGTAGTGAGTATGTGCACAGTCCTTAAACACTTTGGGGTTGATTTACTAACCTTATAAACACACCACAAACATGTATACACCTCTGTAGTGTGTTCCCTCCCAGAATGATCTATGGGTGGAATCTAAACACCTTTGTAGTGTGTACACACCCAGCAGGTGTGTTGTGCAAAGCCTTGCATGAATTGCAAGGTGATGTTGTGTAAGTTAGCTCTATGTTGTGTTGCTTACATTGATGAATGCAGGAATGTAAATGCATGAACTAACCATTTTTGTCTAAATTGTGAAGCAGCATTATATATGCATCATGAGCATGATTTTTCCATATATGGCATTAGTGGAAATATGCTTTTAGAGACTTTTTGGTTGATAAATACGTTTTGCTGTGTGAAAATCACACGCACCTGGTGCGTGCGTGTGTTTAGGTTAGTAAATCACCCCCTTTGACTAGGCAGCTTTTTCAACAAGACCCACACCAGTCAGCTTTAAATAAAATCATTAACATTACCGTGTATTTATTTCAGTGAAAGGGTCTCCAAAATATTATAGTGAATGCATGCACAGTATTAAGGCATTTTTACCTATGCCTTTTTTCTAAAACCTAACTGAAAAAAGGTACCCCCACAAAAAAGCATGGGGGGGCATCAGCTAAATAGGAACTGAAGTTATTAGTGA